TAAAGAGCTATTTCGGGACCTCGGAGGCCGCAAGGTTTAGTCTTTGACACGGCGCTCATCACTGTAAGGTAAAGGTCCGGGGTTCGAATCCAGCGGCCTTGCATTCGAACCCGACATACATACAAATTCTTTAAATTCACTAATTTCGTGGTCCGTTTGACCAATTAAATCATTACAATTAATTAAGGTTTTTAGTTGAGATGAAAAAAAAGTCAATGGCACGAGCGGGAATCGAACCCACGATCTTCGGCTAAATACGCCGCTGCTCTACCACTTGAGCTATCGTGACCTCGATCCACTCGGACATCAACTCCCCATCTCAACCCCACCTTTTGAATTTTCCCTCCTTTTTGCCATTTTTCAAATGTCGTGTAATCGGTTTGGATTCTCGACGACAATTGAAATGGCCACGGAGAGCTTTAGTGAAGTGTACTTCATATTAATTCTTTAAATTCACTAATTTCGTGGTCTGCTTGACCAATTAAATCATTACAATTAATTAAGGTTTTTAGTTGAGATAAAAAAGTCAATGGCACGAGCGGGATTCGAACTCACGAACTTCGGCTAGATACGCCGCTGCTCTACCAAGGTCGCGATAGCTCGGGTGGTAGAGCAGCGGCGTATCTAGCCGAGGATCGTGGGTTCGAATCCCGCTCGTGCCATTGACTTTTTTTCATCGCAACTAAAAACCTTAATTAATTGTAATATTTTTTTTTTTTTTTTTTTCAAAAACACCGGCACCCTGACGGTTTATATGACCTCTGCTGTTGCAATCCTCGTTTAAAAAAAAGAAAGAAAAAAAGCTATTTCAATAGACTGGACAACTTCGTGATTTTCATAAAACCATTCTAAAAATTGAAAAATTATTTTTGTTGATTCAGTCTAACAGAAAATGCTTATGCTCGTTCCATTTAATTACTGTGTTACAATTACAATAATCGCTAAAAGTACGAAAGGGCAGATTCCAACGCGGTAAACACAAATAAAAATTAAAACTACAACTGAATTTAAGTGATTTTAAGCCTGGTAGAAAATTAGAAGTACTTATTTATATAGACATTCAGGGCAAATTATACAGATTACGGTCTATCCGGAAAAAATGTATATCAATTAGCAATCCTGAAAAAAGATCTTCATCAATTAAAACCACCCACTTTGTTGAGGTCATTGGCACCGTCATGGTATTAACTCATTTTTTTCTATATTTCGGACTAACGCAGGAAGCACAGGCAAGACGTAAAAAATGTTTGTTTTTCCAGAAGAAAAAGATTCGAATAGACGGTATTATGCAGGGTATCTCAAGCTCGACCACCTCGTTTGTTGTAAACCACAGTTACCTGATCTTTAATTAGCCTTACAAATCCTCATAATTTCCTAAATAAACCAATGTTTTCGTAAATACATGTTACATATTTATATAAATGTTTGTTTGAAACTCAGAGAGGTTTGACGATTTGTGAGCATACAAAAGTAGAAGGACGAACACGAGAGACACAGAAAAATACAACATTGAAACTCGTTTGGCCGAAATACACAGTGAATCTAAGATGATCAGAAGTTGACGAATTCTGTGATCAATCGACAGAAATTCTCAATTTATGCGTCTTGTGTGTACTATACATTTTAAATACATAGATGTAAAACGTTTACACTCACTGAAATACGTCCTATTGTAGAAAAACCAGCAGAATAGTTCGAATCAGAGAACATTCTCGCTAAATCCTGCTCTTTTATCCAGCATATGAATATTTCATGACATCTAAACCGGCCGTTCAATCACGGCTCGGAGATTTGCGATTAAGATTGGATTTTTAAAAATTGCACGAAGTTTTCCAATCTATTGAAAAAACTCTTCGACAAACGCAATGCTCTATTTTTACAATATACGCAATAACTATTTGTTTTAATTTTAGTAAAAAAAGGATGCAATTTTTTCTCAAATCTTTGACAGATATTCGCAGTCAGAATATTACAATGTCAACATCAATACATTTTTAATTTTATACCCACTATACCTCTGTTGTATTTTTTTATTCATACAGGGTGTCCTTTTTAGATGGCACAGCTGAATTTCTCTTGAACCAATGACGCTATAAAAAAAACCTTATTTAATATTTTTTAGTCTAGTTTCAATTTTTTACCTTTTTTTGCAGAAACATTATACAGGGTTCCTTATATTCGGTTCAACTTCATTTTTTGACCAATTAAAATCCAGTTCAGTGTAAAAAATCATTTATAATAGTCTGACAGAAAGTATAGAAACGTATTTAAAATGTGTGGTGATTAGTGACCGTTAGGCCATAATTATTCCAAAATCGTGAGATGCGGTCTGGTGTGATGTAGAGTTCAGAAAAATATTTTCTTTATCGTGCCAACGTTTCGATCTTTATTGAGATCATCTTCAGGGTCTGGAATTTACAAACATTGTTTAAATTTAACAAATACAATAGATGTATTTGAAGTCATTTCAGAGGATCTTCGGAAGAGGTCAAGACAGAGAAAACTTCCTTACGGTTTTCGCCGAGCTTTCGACAGTTTTATACTGTCATCTTCTTGTTTGTTTATATGATAATAAAACAGGCCCTGAAGATGACAGTATAAAACTGTCGAAAGCTCGGCGAAAACCGTAAGGAAGTTTTCTCTGTTTTGACCTCTTCCGAAGATCCTCTAAATGACTTCATGTATCCAGCAGGTCGATAATCTAGTTCATCGTTAAATAGATGTATTTGTTAAATTTAATCAATCTTTGTAAATCCCAGGCCCTGAAGATGATCTCAATAAAGATCGAAACGTTGGCACGATAAAGAAGATGTTTTTCTGAAACCTACATCACACCAGACCGCATCTCACGATTTCTGAACAAATACGTATTTCAAATTTTGAAGTTGAACTGGCCTGAGTTATACTATATAATTTTTGTCCAAAAAAGATAAAAATTTGAAACTAGATTAAAAAATATTTTTATAGCGTTATTGGTCCTAAGAGAAATTCAGCTGGGACATCTAAAAATGACTTCCTGTATATGTATTTTGTACAATGGATTTGTTATTAACTTTATCCTAATACATTCAAGAAACAGCGTTGGCAATACTTTTATATTCTGGGAAAAATTGTCATACAAATTCAATACAGAGATTTCAGGGCTATTTACAGTTTTTACTTGTTTACAATAAGGCATTATTAAATTACCACAATTTCCTGTTATTACATTTGATATAACTCAGTTTTTTAGACATTTATGTACATTTTATTTTACGTATTTTAAATTTATTTAAAGAGTGTAGGTACCGCCATCACATTGAGTTCTAACGAGAATGAATTTAAACAAAAATAACGTAAAATCAATAACTTGAAAGTGATCAGAGTGGGTATTTGTCAATCTAAAGAAACTTGATTGCCTCCACATGAGAACATTAAAAAAAAAAAAATGGAAAAAAGTGAAATCCATTCATATGAAATGCATGAAACATAAAATAGACACACAAGTATTAACAGACTTAATAAACAAACTAAAGCAACCTTACAGGTTCAAATAAGAGGGTAATTAGATATCCTGCGCTATTTGATTTGAAACTTCAAAAGGTTCACTGATTATGAGTCCGTTCCAGAACGATGAACTACCCCGAACATTATAGGTTCCATTAAAACTAATCATTTCTGGTCCATCTATTCAACAAAGTAGACTGAGAACAGATTATTGATTTTAATCAATGCGCTAACAATGTTTGTTGAATTACAGAATGATATTTGGAGAGAAGGGTGAGAGAGAGAGACAGACAGATAGACAGAGACAGANAGAGAGACAGACAGAAGAGAGAGAGAGAGAGAATGAGAGAAAGTGAGAGAGTTTGAGGGAGGGAGGGAGACAGAGACAGAAAGGACAGACAAAGATAGAGTTAGAGATCTTTAATTATTTAATAGTATTATTTTATCACTAATTTATTATTTTTTTATGAGGTTATATGAACCCTTGGCGTGCCAGTTGTTTTTAAAAAAAAAGCCCATTTGTAAGTATGAGGGGGTTTGAATGCAGGGCCGCTGAATTAGAACCTGGAACCTGAGCATCATGTCAAGGCCTAAACCGTTGCGGCCACCAACACCCTTTTTATTAATTTAATTGTTATCTTTAAACAAAATAGCAAAAAAGTTTTTTAACTAACAATATAATTTTAAGTGATATTTTAAAATGACACGTTGGTTTGTGGATGTTTTTGCATTTTTAACAAATGAAAATTTGTAATGGTAAAATTGGGCATGCCAGGAAATTATAAGTGCCGCACTGTTATATAAATGTGAGTGAGTGTGTGTTTGCACGCGCATGTATACAACATAATTATCTGACTTGTGAAATAGCTTCTTACTCCTCATCCCTTTCCCATTGAATTTTCAAATCACATTTTGAAAGAGATATAGTTGATCTTTGGTCAGTACATAATTTTTTAAAATGCTTGTAATGGATACGATCGGTTTTATAGTAATGACTCTGTGGATAGCTGGCACAGGAAGAGAAAAAGGGGTGTGCTTTCATGCTATCATTGCTACCATATCCAGGAAATGGGATTAGAGATGATCAAAGAAGCACTCGTATCCTCCCAACCCAGTATGATTATTAAGTTCCGATACAAATGACAGTCTGGATTAGTCGGTGGATGGATGGAATTTCATTTGGTTTATAGTCGGAAGAAGGAAATTACATTTCCCATTGAATTTTGAAAAGTTTTATACACCAGTCCCTACACTCCAACAAGGCAATTAAACGGAGATCTATAGACTTTTAGGAGTCAATTTTTATTTACTTTCTCTTTCTTTGTTAGTCTTTTGATTGAATGTTCAATGGTTGAAGGCAGACAAATGGAAATCAATCTTTGAGCAACTCATTTTACATTCTTTTCATTAACAAAAAGACAAATACCATTGCTTTTTAAAATTTTAATTGTGTTTAAAAACTATTTTTAAATTAAAAATGGCACTAATGATTGTGTTTTACTTTGAATTGACAGAAACCAAGGCCTTTTACTTGGCGGTGGATACGGGAATGGTGTATTGCATGGTGGCATTCTGGCCGGGAAGACATTGAGGGAGAGTGCGAATTGGAGGACACCCCTAGCGACATGGGCTATGCGACTCCAGTATCTGTTGAGACACCTTTACAGTCTTCAGTATCAAGGTAATGGCAAGTTTATAACACCGTCTCAATCAGATATATTAATATTAAACTTTAATATTGAATTTCAATTAATTTCAGATGCACATCAATGAACGTTATAAGGGATCCTTATGCTGGTGGAGGAGTACCACAGACGCCTCGTCTCGCTCATCACCTTCATTATGACAGCCGGAGTTTACCCCCTACGACTAGATTACAAGGAAGATCGCTTTCAACTGATTCAGTAAGCCTCTAAAATAAAAGTTTTTAGGAAAATTTCAAATTTATAGCATGACTGCAGTAGCAGATCAAAATGATCATATAAGCTACAAGTTCATCACGTCACATATCTTATATTTAAAAAAAAAATTCTTTTTTTATTACTTTTGTCAATCTGTAAAAGCTCTCGGATTTTAGCAATAATCATCCATATTAAATTGTTCCTTACTCTCAGAAACACTCCCAATATATTTTGGTGAAACCTGCGATACTGAAAGAAGTTGTAACCAAATGCAATGTCAACGTTATGCTTAGAAAGCATAAACACGAAATGTATTAAATTGTCTAATTGCAGCATTGAAATTTATGACAGCAGAATTTTTTAACATAGCTCACTTTTATACTTTATATACATGTGGCAGTTCCAATATGAATTTTCAAATTTCTCCGACAAAAATACTACGGTGTGTAATGAAGGTATGTGGTATCTTTTATTCGGACACTGCTGAATGGAACAATAATAAAAAATAATATTCTGCAGATCCTTGCTGCACAGTGGAAATAATACAAATAAAACAAAATCCGAATTACAACAAAAAATTATATTCCTTTTTAAAAAATAAACAAACAAATTCAAATTTTTGAAATAAAATATAAAAAATCTCAATCAAAATAATCATGCAAAAAAGAATTTAAATATTTCTTTTGCCAACCTGTTAACGTTAGATACCATAGTGAGAATCTGGAAAAATCATGACAATTTGTATTTAATTGACTTTTTGTTTATCTTTTTGTTATGTTGTAATTTTCAAGTTAAATTATTATTATTAACAAAGAAGTAAACCTTATTTAATTTTCAAACAAACAATAATTTATTTAGAAAAAAATCTTATTTTGTATTTGTTTAAATTGTTCAGTCAAGAAAATTTTGTTATTTCGATTTGTATTATATAAAAATGTAAATAGTTCATTTGCCAAACAAATAGAAAAACTAGCACTACTTTTGCCACAACGAGTAGTAGCTTGAAGGCAGTCATAGCGTCTACTTCATATAATCTAACGTTAACAGGTTGGCAAAAGAAATATTTTAATTCTTTTTTGTATGATTATTTTGATTGAGATTTTTTTATATTTTATTTCGAAAATTTGAATTTGTTTATTTTTTAAAAAGGAATATAATTTTTTGTTGTAATTCGGATTTTGTTTTATTTGTATTGTTTCAACTGCGCAGCAAGGATCTGCTGAATATTGTTGTTATAAAAAATAATATTATTTTTATTATTGTCCCATTCAGCAGTGTCCGAATAAAAGATACCACATACCTTCATTACAGGGGTTACATTCTAAATTAAAATTTGAAAAATTATTGGCCTTCATGATAATCAAAGCAAGCAAAACTCTTCTTTAGAGCCCAAAAGTTTTGCTTTCAGCTGATCATAATTTTCTCACTTTTAATCAATTCTTAATGGCCGTTTTATGTGTTTCTACTCTACATACAATTAAAACAAAAATTTCAAAGAAATTCTACCAACTATCCTTATTTATTGACTCCCATTCCCTTTATCCCCTTTCATGCTTCCAAAAATTTCATTGTTTTGAGACAAACCTTCTCAAAATGATATCCACTGAGGCAATGATGGCAATAAGTGCATTATTACTGTTCTATTTTTTGCGACGCATTCAATGCCATAAATTATTTATTTGGTAACTGCGCATCTTTTCGGTTTTTCTTCTATTGCTACTAATCTTATCTCCTCCTATCTGTTCGAAAACTCAAACAATTAAAACTTCAAATTCTATCTCCTCTTCCCTTTCAATTTCAGCTGGTGTACTCCAAGGCTCTGTTCTTGGACCTTTACTCTTTTTTCTCTCCCTAATGATCTTCCAATACTTGTTCATTTCTACCTAATTTATCTATATGCTGATGATACTCAGCTTTACATTCAATTAAATCCTAACAAATCCCAGTCTTTATTAATTTCACTCATTGAAATAATGCTTGTTTCAAATATTAAAAAAATATATATATTTTAAATAAATTTATATTTACCCTATTTGTTTACATTCATTATGAGATATTAAAGAAAAACTTTTATGATTTGGAACAACTGATTACAAAGTTGAATTTTTTTTCCCCCCTCAGCGAACAGCTTTGGTCATAGCCAGCGCTACCCTGCATTTTCCTTATCTCTGTTTTGTCTTTCACATAATAGTCTAATAGTTAACAATTATATGTATTAGTTATTGTTATCTATGCAGCAATTAGAAGGCGCTACATAAACTAACAATTTTGTACATAGTCAAATAAGATGTACAGCATAAATTAGTTTTAATTGTGTCTTATCTGCTATTGTAAAATTGAAGATGAATTAACAAATTTATTTGTTTATTAGGTATACACAATATTGATAAGATTGCCAGGTGATAATAGCTGCGATGGTGTTACTGAACAACAGCAACCATCAATCAAAATGATAACGGATGATCTGGCTTCCACACCGGTGAGAGCAGGCATGCGTGGGAGAGTTGAAAACTCGACAACAGACTATAATCTCTCTTTGCACCCTGGCGGTGGGTATCATGCTGCTGTAAACAGGAGGCCATCGCATATTTCCGACATTAGAATACCATTGACTGCCAAGATTATACCGAAACAGCTTGCAGCTGGGCAAAGGCACCCGCCGCCTAAGAAAAAGAGAAAAACACAAGAGAAAAAGGCGGACAAGAAAGCGGCAAAAACGCTATCTGCTATTCTTTTGACATTTATCATTACTTGGACACCCTATAACATTTTGGTCTTGTTGAAACCAATAACAGAATGCACCGACTGTATACCACAAGGTGTATGGGACTTTTTCTATTATTTGTGTTACATTAATAGCACCATCAATCCTGTCTGTTACGCTCTGTGTAATGCATCATTTAGACGAACGTATGTCAGAATATTGACTTGCAAATGGCATAACCGAAATAGAACGGCAATGAATCGGGGATTTTACAATTAAAGACCCTCTAACTAAAAACTATATATTTTATATAATTTGATAATGAGCAGTATTTTTACAAGTGGTATTTTCTAAGTCTGGTAGGGCTAGATCAATTACATTTTTCAAAAAGAATATTTTATAATAATAATGCGCCCCACCTACACAATTACAACACAAACTTTTATCCCAACGTAAAATTCTTTATGTTTAGGTACAAAAAAATTCCCAAAATTATATTTTTAATTAAACGAATTTACCTTCTCTTGCAGTATTAGTGGTAACAAGTAAAAATTGATATATTTATAACTTATAACATATTATAGATATAATAAATCATAAATATTGTGGTAAATAAAAACATATTATTACAATAGGGTCACAAAGTAAATGTTTGGAATTTAATTGTTAAGTAAAGATGGGTGGATGAAAAGGGTCATGTATATTTAATGATTGCCATTACCTTATTTCAAGGTTGTGGACAAGAGTGCAACGATATAAATTCAAATGCTATAGTTTATTTATGTGTACCATACATTTAATCATGTTTTTTGTAGATCGTTTCGCTCAATTTATATTAAACAAGTAATATACGCATCAAGTTAATCTAAGATGTTAGATTTTTTAATGTACTTAGTCATGCTTTTATAGAATCGTTGAATAGTTTGTATCATTTTACCAATTTGAAATTGGCAGAATGCGTTATAAAAAAAAAAGAGAATTGAAACATTCCTTTGGAATTACATGGCATTTTTAGATTTCGTCAGCATGATGTGTATTTTCTAAAAATCAGCAGTACTTTTTTTACAAGTGAAAAAAAAAATTTTGTGTACATATAAATATATTGGGTGAAGTGTTTCAGAAACTTCGAAAAATATAATAAATATATATAAATATATTTTGTGGACTCAATTCATTATTTCAATTGAAAGAAATTTTTCGGGATTGAGTAGGAGAATTACAATTCAAAAATACAACTTTTGGTAAGATATTCTTACATGTACAGATGTGTGTTTCTAGGAATTGTGGGATTAAAAACCCACTTTTAAGTTTAGTCGTTGTATTTATCAATGTAGTTTAGTCCATGGGACCAATAGGAAATTCTTTAAAAAAAAAAAAAAAAAAGAAGGGAACGAAAAATTGACATTTTCAATTTTTTGCACATGGAAAAAAACGGAAGAAATAAGAGAGTACAGAGTTTGTTGTTTTGTAAATGTCATTTTTCATGATATTTCAAACAGTACTAGAACATGCATTTCTAAAATAATCCAATTTATATATTTAAAGAGAAAATAGTAAACTGTTTGTCATATTAAATTTAAAAAATTAAAAAAACCTTATTAAGAATATAGCAAATTGAAAATATCAGTGACTTATTACACAATCTAAATGTAAAAAACTTTGATAATTGTAAAAAAAAATTAACACTGTGATTAATTATATCCATCCTGTGAATAGGGTGGCATTTAAATCCAAAATAATAACAAATGAAAGAGATAAAAAGTTATTCTGTTTTTATAGAAAAAAAAAGTGGCGAAAGTTTGCTATTATTTTCTAGTTTTGAACAGATTTACATTTTCCCATGACAGTTCGTGCAGTTGTAAAAATATATATTTTCTCAAGGAAGGATCTATTTAACATCCCTTTGTACAATTTGCTAAAGGAAAAATACCTCATGGTGTAGCAGTAATATGTGGAAAGTTGATAAAACTTTTAAATTCGGTTACCTCTATTAAGGAACTTTTTAATCAGAATAATAAACACAAATATCAAGAAGATAATCTTGAAGTTTTATTTAATTTTTATGCGTGGTTTTCGGACAGTATACCTACACTCAACTGACCCCTCTTAAGTGGTGTGTACTATTGAATTTTTGAATGGCTGCAGGACATAGCTGCTACTATTTTTGAAATGAAGTTTGCAGTCTTTGCACTTTAGAAGTATAATAATTAATATTAAATTAAAGATGTTATAAAAGGAAGTGGTTTTAAGCTGAAATTCAAAATGTACAATTAAATAATTTGCTATATAGATTTCTTAATAAATACTGAAAAGAATGATTTATTTTTCTTAATTTTAAGTAGTTTTATTATTGAACAAATGAAGTTTTGTAATATTTACAAATTAAGTATTTAGTTGTTGCTGCGTTGATTTTAAATTTACTGTTTGTTCTAGACTTAACATAATTATATATAATTTGGCCTTTTGACGTTTGTGACAAAAATTTATAGATATATATGATATATTAAAGTTAATAATTTAAAATATTCTAATAATACAATCATTAGTAATAATTCTTATTATAAGATACTATAAAGTTTGTAAGATAAGTTATATACTAAAAACAATTTTAAATGGTAATTTAAATTCTAGCTACTCTGACGTGTTTACACAAGAAGTAACCCACAAGTAGGCTTGATTCTAAAATTACGATAGCTCAGCAAACGTCCCGCCTGTTTCAACTGGAAAGTCGCGGCCTGAACCAAAAAATAAATAAAATAAAATAAAATTGCTCGTCTGTAAAACTGAGCCCGTTTTACAGATTTGCTTCTCAGCCTGCAATTGGAGGTTGGCGGAAGCGCAGAGCCCGTGTTTTAGTGCTGTGATGGCAGTTCGTTTGTTATTAGAAACTAGTTTATCATAGATAATTTAGCTTTAGTTAGATGAATAAGTTTTGATAAACGGAAATCGAGGAAGAAAGGATGTTTCTATCTTACACATTAAATTAGAAGTGTTTTAGACACCAGGTCATTCGCTGCCAAATTGTACATAATTGTATATAGCGGTTTGTGTATGAACTATTTCTTGTCATTCAATTTGATCTGATGAAAAACAAAAACAAAATTAAAAATAATATATAAATAATTACAGTAGTGTTTCTCATATTTCTTAGATTTATAAAACTAAATGGAGTACAATTAAGTACCACAAAGAGTGTTGGAATATTTGTCCGCTGGCCACACTGAATAAATTAATGTATTTTTAATTAATGACCAGTGTTATCATAAATAAAAATTTTTTCTAATTGTCTTTAGAATATGATTCCATCATTTGTGTAATACTTCTTATATTGCATGCTAAGAATAATAGAATATTTATTTTGAGATTTTTGATAATTGCTGTGGTTTTAAAAATTGCTACTTGTTGTTTAAATAATTCATAAAGATGTTTTACCTCTCAAAAACAAATATCTGGATCAGGTCCAATTAAAATTTCCAAATTTATGGATTACTTATTAAAATGAAAATAAAAAAATGTTTACTTACTGCCATTCCATGATTTATTTTGATGTAAAATTTAAATGAAATATTGACCAGACTAAGGAGTTGATTTAAACCGGTTACACTTGGTATATTTTGTATATGTTTAGATTGAAGGTGAAAGTTGCTGATCATAATTGTAAAAAGTGTTGCCACCATTTTTCCGATGAAAAAACTGAAAGGCATCCAATCTCTGTGCCAAAGATAACTTGCGCGACGATATGGTGCAGTATAAAAGAGCTCAATTAATATATAATTAAAACAGATCTTGATAAGCATAAAGCGTCAAAAAAAAAAAAAAAAAAAAAACAAGATATAAGTTTAATACAATTTTTAAAAGAAAAAAAAACACAGTGTACAGAAACACACATGTGCACAAATACAGAAACATTTATGTATAAAAAAAATGATACAACACAAAAACAAAATTTCATTCTTTATCATGATAGTTTATTTACTTAATCGATTAATTCCCTGTGTGTACGTGTGTCTAAACATGTGTACTTAGATGTATAAGGTGCATAGGAGTTAGATTAAGTTACATTTGCAAGCTCAATAATACTTCCTTAACAACAACAACAAAAAGTTTAAATTAACTTTCAGTCTAGTAGGTGTCATTTTTATTTAAACATGTGTTATAGAAATAAAATAAAAATATTTTAAAACAAGATTTGAAAATGTGGCAGGCCACATTTTTGAGGACAATATACTTGTTTATATGTTAATGTTTGTCTTTTAGCATTAGTTTATATATACTTATATATATACTATGATTGTAGTAATAACGTATGAATAATTATTACACATTTCTTGTTGGATATTGATATCGTGTGTCCCACAATTTACAGAATGAAATCTTATGACTATTAATGTTTCTATTATAAATTGTATTTATAAAAATCTGGCCTGCATTTTAATTCCCCGTCTTATGATTAGGCATTTTATGTGTATTTCTCAAATCAGTCTTTACAGGAGAAATCAGATCAACAGCAAATAATTAGAAATCAAATCTAGAGGGCTGGGACATTGTAACGTTTAAACACGCAAACCAGTGAGAAGACCCAAATATCAATGTATCAGTTGATTAATGGTGAATTTCCAGTATTTGTACAGAGATATCCTATAATTGATCATAATATCAGTTTAAACAGAATATAATGGCACTAACGAAATGTTGTTTATGTGTCTCACTAAATAAATTGATGAATTTATATGTCTATGACTAAATTTTCCTGCACAAATGATTATTTGACCCTTGCAGGAGTACTTTATGATTTGGTATGGCTCGTTATAAATGCACTTATTCCAAAACCTTAAAATCCGTAATGTTTCATTTTTACAGTTTTCCATTTTGACCATTTAAATTTTGACAATCTTATGGCACACAAGCGGTGTGTTGGTTGAATGCGTGTCAATATATTTGAGGGGAATGTAAATTCAACATTCTTAGTAAGTTTTATTACTTCATAATGTTTCCCAACTTTGCAGAAATAGAATGACAATACATTTTTCTGTTGCGCTTGTTTATGCTTTTTTATAATATTAATTTCAAGAATACAATCATTACAATTTGAAAATTGTTCGATTCGCCAAAGATAATATTAATTTATACGTTATTTTGAAAATATTTTATTTTTTATTTCTGTATAAAAAGATGAAGTTTAAATATTCAAATTGTGAAGGTGTTAAATAATGTAAATAACGCATGCGGCAATATATAGCTAGCATTTACTGTGATAATCATAATGCCGTTTTAAGTTTTAATTGCAGCAAAATACGGTACTGAAGATGTGTTGTATTCTATAAACTGCAAGGTTAGTGTGATACTGTAAATAACAGTATTTATATTTCAGTGTGCTAGAGTTCCTAGTTAGTAATGTATGTGTATTTATGTATTAGTACTGACATTACGCACACTAGTAAATCAAAAAGGTTGTTTTTGTAATAAAAAAATTGGTGTAATTAACAAAAAAAAGTCTAAAAATATGTTTGTAAACAATTTGGCTAAATTATTGTTGAGTTTTTAAATTGGATTATAAAATTGTTTGAGAATAAATAATATCTAGCTGGCATGTATCCGGCTATAATTCCATGTTAAATACGGGTATTTGATGTAATGACTGAATAAACCAACCGTGTAAAAAATTATATTATTTCAACCCATTTAATTACCCATTTAATTTTAATTCCCTTATTTTGTAAACAAATCAAATAAAAAGAAATGACTAACTAATCATGACAAATTTCTAACATTTATTGGACATGATAAAAAGAGGTAATTGATTGTAAAAATAAATTTGTGGACTGCTTTACCAAGTAATATCTTACAATTAATTAAGGTTTTTAGTTGAGATAAAAAAAGTCAGTGTCACGAGCGGGATTCGAACCCATGACCTTCGGCTAGATACGCCGCTGCTCTACCACTTGAGCTATCGTAACCTCGATCCACTTGGTCACTAACTTCTCATCTCAACCCCACCTTTTGAATTTTCCCTCCTTTTTGCCATTTTTCAAATGTAATCTATCTTAATCTATTTGATCATGGGTTCGAATCCCGCTCGTGCCATTAACATTTTTATCTCAACTAAAAACCTTCATCAATTGTAAAAATAAATATTGAAATAGAGCAACTAAACAAAATTCTTTACACTGTACATATTAAATAATGCTTTTATTAAAATGAAATTATTTAAATAGTTAATTAAACATTTCTACAAACCAGTCTTCAGTTGACATAAAATAACGGTTTTTATTTTTTCAAGTTGTGGAAATCCTTTAACTTCAAACTAAAACTATTTAATATATAATTTGTTTTTATTGTAAATAGTTGTGTAATATAGTAGTGTATTCTAATTATATAAATAGAAAGTTAGAAAATATCAGTTGGAGTGATGTTTTCCTTTAATATTTTCTATTTACAGGAAATATAATGTTCTTATAAAAATAAAACAATAAATAAACTTTCATGGTATCATGTTTGCGAAACAAGATTAATGAGTAGTTTTTGTTTTAAAAAAAATGCTAGAACTTACCGGCTAAATTTTTATTTTAGAGTGTACATACAGTTATTTACATTCGCATTGCTCTAGTTGCCAATCTGCAAGTTTCTTGTCCTGTTAAACACTGTACCAATATTGCAAAACTGGTTTTAGCAGTTCAACTAACAGACCACCCAGCTTCGTTTCACAATTTGAACACTCGTTACACCCAGAGGCATATGAAGGTAAGTATACAACAAGTTTTTCAATTGTCTCAAATTTTATTATCACAACCCTTGTTTTTCCATGTATCCTGGAATTCATCACACACAATAAAATTCATAATCCTTACAATTACAGTGCATTGACAATTACAATTACAATACAAATATTACAAAGCATGACGTGTAATAATTTTTAAATAATTTAAGAAAATAAGAAATCTTAAATGTTGATATTCTTTATTGTCTAAACAATCAATACGAAAATATTGTTATTTTATTAAGAATTATCAATATTTCTATTATTTATACGATTTCATCATTGAAATTCAGGCACTTGAGTTTGCCAACATTTTTTTGCAATAATATAAAAGAAAATACAAAATAAAATTAGATATAAAAAATATTATGTACAGTAAGCATTAGTTATGCAAGAAAGATAACAGTGCAGTGGACAATTCATAAGAAATATATAAATGCTCTTTCAAGAATATATTCAACAATTTCAATATATCACTTTTCACAAAAATATAATCTTTTTCTCATTCCATTTCACTTCTTTAGGAAGAAAAGCTGTGCTAAAGTATTATACCAGCTTTTGGTTAAGAACAAAATAGATTATTTTCTCTTAAATTAATGTACTTTTTTCACTTTTTTTTTCCAAAAGGTGTGCAACCTATGACATTAGATGATGGTATACCATACGAAATTAACAAAATTGTGCCTTCTTTCTTTTGCTTTGGGTTCCCTTTTTCCCATTACAATATAAGAAAATGGCTGTGATTCCATTGAGTCCTTTAGAGTTCAACTGTTGACGGCTCATGGTGCATACTTTCAATGAAAAGGCCATTACTCTGAAATCAAATATCAATCTAATTTCAACAATATTTTGTTATTCGAAAATTAAAGGGAAAAAAAATGGTAAAAGTGAAAATATGTGAATTTGGTACACATGTTTCCAAAATTAAGGAATTATTTGGAGCAAACATATTCAAATATTGTTTTGGAGGACTGTGGTGGCCAAGTGGTTTGGGTGTCCCACTCAATTTGCCATGCTAGCAGTCTTGGATTTGAATCCTGGCGTAGCCCATGGATTTTTAATTGTGAATATTATGAAGAGAGTACTTTAAAGTGGTTTGACCCCTCATCCACAACAGCCAATGAGTAGTTGAATGTTAATCCCTCTTGTATGTCAGAAACTTCTTCAGATATGTAAATACTCAATTAATTATACACAATTTTTTTCCGAAATGAAAAATTTGTGTCACAGGCGGGATTCGAACCCACGACTTTCGGCTAAATACGCCGCTGCTCTACAACTTGAGCTACCGTGACATCGATCACCCATGCCACAAACTTCTCATTTCGACTACCCGATTTTATTCTAATTATAAGCAAATCGCAGCTTCATATAGAAACACTTTTTATTAACAATTATACTAGATTAGCGGGACTACAATTCACAGGTGTGATTCTAGATTAATATTAAATTTTATCAGCTTCTATTAATTATATAAATACTCAATTAATTATACACAATTTTTTTCCGGAATGAAAAATTGTGTATAATTAATAGAAGCTGATAAAATTTTGTATTACTTCTGCAGTTATATTCGAATAATCATCAAGGTTAAGAATTACTTTTCAAATTATGCATAAATGTACTAATTACAAAAAAAACACTGTATGCAAAAAAGATTTCATATGTAGAGAACAATTATTACACGGGAAAGTTAATCACACAAAAATAGTTTAAAGAAAGTTTAAATAGTTGATTGTAGCAATCAAGTTTTTACTTGTATTATATTCCTGGATTCTACACTTCGACATATATCTAAAAACAATTGAAATAAACTTCTCCCAATTGTCAATGACATTTGAATCAGAACCCATTTTTTTCTGATATTGGTGGATGTATGTTCAGCATCTTCAGCATGCAGCAATATTATGTAAGAGCAATGAAGTTGGTAGCAGTTATCCTGTTACTGGTCATACAAAAGTTCCTTGGATATCATGTCAAACCCAGTGATGCAATGAACATCTCAACTGCCAAAGTTGATTAGGAACCAACAACCACACCCCTGGAGAAAATAGAACCATAGAGAAATAGAAACAACAAAATTCATAGGTAAATTGAGCAAAATGGTAGTTTGCTTTCTGGGTTTGACATGTTTGACAGTTTGTGGCAGTGACAACAACCCAGAAGTTGATGTCTAGAGATCAGCAAAAAAACTGACGAGGCAGCTAAGGCCTGGATGTCCCAACCTCCAGATTTGACCACGGCTTTCTGACACTAAACATGCAATAAAAAAATTATTAAAAGAAAGTGGCAGTGTCAGTTGGCTCTTATTGTCAATTGTATCTATAATTGAGAATACTAGAGCACAGTCTTAGCTAGCCACAGTGGTGGCTCATGGTGGATCATCCTCACGTGCTTAAGGATAGGCCATGCGAACAGAAACCTAATTTTGGGCAAAAGCCATATGTGTTCAGCAGATAGAGAAGACAGTGCCCCACCTAGTTGTAGGGTGCAATTCGTTAGCTATAGAGAACATGTAGGAATGCCACCCAATTTCAGAATCATGCTTGAGCATCTGGGTCTTCTGTTCTCATTATTGGAGGAAACTAGGTTGTTCTATTCTATATAATATTGATAATTTTATGTCCCTAGAATGTGTTGAGAATGGATGTATTTATTAGCGTGAATGCGTTTAAGGTTATATATTTTATGTATTTAAAGCATAATGATATAAAAAATATCTCTCAAAATTAAACCACAGCCCAAAGATCGTGAGTTCAAGCCCCATCCGTGATGCCTCTTTTCATCTCCAATTCTGTTGTTCATAATATAAATACATACCAAATAAATTAAAAGTACAGATAATTTCCATTGCCTTGGATCACTGCACAAATTTTTGTCCAATATTTTATTCACAAACACTTAGGATCAAGGTATGATCTATAAAAAAAAAAAATGTAAATTCAGTTATCTCTGCCAAGCTTTTGACCTATTTTAAGATAATCGTCAGGGCAAAACAATTCTAAATATTGATTTATTTACCTATTTATTTTATTAAATGATAATGTTTGGTCTGATGATGACCTTAAAATAGGTCAAACGCTTGGTAGTAACAATTTAATTTGCTTTTTCCATCAAGACTACCTTGATCAAATTGTTCATGAGTAAAAAAGTGGTTGATACTTCTTTGATACATTGAAGAAATCCTTTTAAAGAAGACATCTGGTATGTGTCATGAACAAAATGGCTGCCAATAATTTTTGCATCTTTCCTAATTCCTTATAACTATAGGAAAAATAAATAAAAATTCACAAAACATAACCTATAAAACTGCCATTTGCCCATAGTCTTATTTAGGGGACGGACAACAAACAAATGCCCTTCCTCCAGGGTTACTGGAAGGAGGAAAAAATCCATAAAACTCACCAATTCAAGGACATTAAATACTGGAAATTTATAAATATATAGATTCATGTCATCCTGTATGGCTCGTGGATTTTGTAGAATCAGCAAAATTTTCAATATAACCTAATATAATGAAATGAATACTACAGTGCCCGAGTGGTTATTGGACTCTCAGATTGTAGACCCCACGGTAGTAAGTTCAATTCTCATAATAACCCTTGGAATTGTCTCTCAAGTTCATAATTCAATATTCAGTTTTTAATTATAGTAAATTAAATTGTTAATTAATAAAAATTGAAAACTATCAACTATGGTGTAATATTTTATAATATTAAAATTATTATTTAACAATTAATTAATTATGCATGTCTGTGACGTACACCAATCGTCATTGAATTATTATGAAGTGACTGAAATAATCACAGTCAGTAGCTCATCCTTCACTCAACAGATGGTGTTTAGATGTCCAGAAGAACTTCCTCAAATAGACAAAATTATTTCATTCCCATGGCGAAAAAATAAATCCTTATTGCTCGTAAGTCATAACCACGCTATAAATAGTAGTAGCAGTAGTTTTAATGTTATCCAAAATATAAAATCGTAACAAGAAAATTATTATATGTTGTTTAACATCACTCTTTTGCAGTAAAAAAAAATTGTTGATTTTTCCCATAAATTATTTGTTAAAATTTTGACCTTAATTTGTTTATATTTACCTCTCCTGAGCCAATAAATGTCCTTTTCACTTTTTGACGAGCTTTAGCAGACTGGATTCTCTGACTAAGTATCTGGAAAAAAAACGGTATTTCGTTATTTTGTAAATCGATGAAAAAAAAAAAAAAAAAAGAAGAAGAAGAAAAAAGAAATAACAAACCTGTTGTCGTCGCTGCTCAGCTTCTGCTTGTTTCTCATCGAGGAGCCTGTGCGTTAAGTTGGGCATCTGCTGATCTTCAAGCCTCTGCAGCCTCTTCGGGGGATGCTTCTTTATGAGGTTTTCCTCGTCTGTTATCGGAACTTCAAACGCCAGTCCTTTCGCTAATTCGAACAAATATTAGAAATATCCCGAGTATTTTTTAAAAAAATTTAACTGATGGTGTATATTAACTCGTTTGCGCGGAAATTTTGATGTCGTCGTCGATTGAAGGGATGGCAGCGGCGATTGGGACGCTGGCTCCTTCAGAATTTCCGTCGACGTGTCCGTTTCCGAGATCTTTGCCTCCTTCAATAGGTATCACGGCTGTTTTGCTAGCAGCGCAACCCATTTTGAATCAATGATTATTGGACACTTTGGAATAGAAGAAAACCAAATTCCTCTCGCTTTAAACTGTAACACAAAAACAATTCCGTGAGCAAATCGATTTTGTACATCCGTGCTTTCACTTTGCAAAAACTTCCTAGCGAATTGAATTCTGTAAAGAATTAAAATTAGAAAGTGTACTCGGAGTAAATTTTTTAATTAAGATTCACCCTGACCTTTGTAGTCGATATAATTAAAACATGTTTTTAATGAAACCGCATGCTTTCATACATCGCGTGCAATACACCTACCGGACATAACACATGTAGAAATAATTGTCGATTTCGTCTTTATTTAGGTTATACGAGCTTTCTCACAGAACTAAAAGTTTTCCTAATCAGAAGACAGTTTTAACAAATTGGCGACCGAATCCGTCGTACCCATAAGCCACAGATTTCAATATCGTCAAAACAAACAAAAAACAAAAAATGGATCCTTTCTGACGTTTTTTTAAAAACCTTAAGCTTTTTATTACGATTATTATACGCAATTATTACGATATTTACAAGTAAACCAACCAGAAATCATAGAAGTACACAATGAGCACATATTTAAAAAAATATTCATATGCTATTCAGTAATCAATTGCATAAATATCAACTAAAATGTTTTTCAGGCTGAACTTATATAGCATTGAATTTGCTAAAAACTAAGCCTTTCTATCAGTTTTTTAGCTTTTTATTACGATATTACGATTATTATACAATTATTACGATATTTAGCAAGTGAAGCAGACAAAAATAATACAATTAAACAATAAGCGCATATTTCAAAAATATAGGTATTCATATATTATTCAGTAATCAATTGCATAAATATCAACTAAAATGTTTTTCAGGCTGAGCTTATATAGCGTTGAATTTGCTAAAAACTAAGCCTTTCTATCAGTTTTTTAGCTTTTTATTACGATATTACGATTATTATACAATTATTACGATATTTAACAAGTGAAGCAGCCAAAAATAATACAATTAAACAATAA